ATTGTCCAGAAATTTTAGTTGGGAGCAGATTAAAATAGTTTTCTGAGCCTATTGGTGAAAAGAGGGTTTCATAGTACTAAAATATTGTTTGAGTCCAATTAAATAAACATTCAACATTTTAGTTTGCAGCTGAAAACCAAATAGAAAGTTTTCCCAATGAAGTTGAAAATATCTTAAAATATTTGAATCCACATAGTTGCCAGAGTTTGAGAGTATGAACACAACCAAAACAAATGTGTAACAGATTCTGGAAGAAGATCTCAAAAAGTGCAGTTCACAATAATATCAGATTTTAATTTTTTCAAGGTTTTTCAAGGTCTTTGGCAGGATAAATCCTGTGAATGAGTTTGAATAAAACTTCATTCACCTTGTTAGAGAGGAGATATTGATTAGGTAGCAGCCAAGTATGTTTCCAGGATACAGCAGCTACCAGACGGTTCCGATATGGTACAACAGCAGGAACAGACGCCACCTCTTTCTGAAAGAGGGTTCTGATTGACTTATTGTTCTTATGAAGAGACAAAGTGAGACATATTTTGCCCACAGGAGAGTCCATGGGAGTCAGAGAAGGAGATGAAGAAGAACCGAGTCTTGGCCTCTGTCTGAATAACATGCAGATCCTATTGAAATAGCACCGAAAACCTTTGCATATTCTCCATAAGACATAGGAAGGTTAAATTTAGAGCGAAATCCCTCATAATTCAATGAAGTGCCACTGTTGTCGGACTGCTGATCAACCAGAATAATATCATGACTGAACCATGGATCCAGAAACAGTGATTTTCTCTTGTAGAGGATGTCCTTATTGTTTCATATGAAATACAGGTGAGTAACACCTGTTTAAAAAAAATTATGTATGAGTTACTGCAACATTTAATTTCTCTTTGGGATTAGTAAAAATAGAATTTAAAATAAAATAAAGTTTTCTCCTTAAAAGTGAAAAATAACAGATATAAGGCTGGGTGTATCAGGAAATAAATACTTTTAGAGCTCTGGTATTCAGCCCATTAACGATGCAAATAGAGGTTGTCGTGGGAAAAAAGTATTCAACTATTCATCCTAGTTAAATAAACGGAGATCGATGGATTTCACTCAGTCGGCACATTTATTCATATCTTTGCAAAGAGAGAACAGTTCATCAAACAGCCTTCATGGCATAGCATTCTGCTCTGTTCTGATCTGGGCAGCGTTCGTCCCCCCCTACTTACAACAATGAAAAACAGTCAGTCATAACAAATTACACACACTTTGGTTAACAGTAACATGTTATGAATAAACCTTGAGAAATAACCTGATTTGTTATGGGAAGAAGTTATGTCTGGTCTACAAACACTATCCTGCAGGGAATAATGTGTCCTTGAGAGAGAAACAGACTGAGTGAAAACTTTTATAGTGAGTAAATAGGATAAATTAATATATAATAGAAGAAAGATAAAAATTTTCCGACAAGGTATAATTGAAATAGAACTTAAGACACAATAAACGTGTATATTTAAAATCTAAAAAGGAGGAAAGGTGGGAAATGTGTTGCATCTCAGAATCCGATCCATCATCTGTAATGTCTCTTGGCTTCCTATCTTCATCCATGTTACTTCAGTGTTTATCTATAAACTCTAAATGGACAGAATGTCTCCATGCTCTTAATTTTCCCTCCATTTTGTGCCAGCTGTTACGCCATGTCATTAAGCATTCAGTCTTATTGCTGATTACCGTAGTAGGGTGTCAGCTTCACACAGCTGAAGTTCCTCCTATTCGATGATGTGGTCCAGGTTGTACACACAGTGCATCTGTGAAGAGGACGTGTCTTTTCAAAAATTCAAGAAACTCCCCCACTATACTTTTAATCATGTTTACATAATTTTTTTCTGAGAAACTTACAGTTTAGTAAGTAGTAACGTACAAAATATTGGCTTTAATGTGTATTCATAACTTAGCCATTTTTCTTCCTCTGTGGGTTTTCATGTGTTTCTTCAAGCTTGTGCTTACAGTAAATCTTGTCCCACAAAGATCACAGCAGAAAGGTTTATGTCCTGTGTGGATTCTCGTGTGTACTTAGATTTCCCTTTTCACTAAATCTTTTTCAACATATATCACATGGGAAAGGTCTCTGTCCAGTGTGGATTCTACTGTGCGTCTCTAAATGTACTTTTTGATAAAAAAAATTTCCACAGTCAAGACAACAGAAAGGTTTATGTCCCGTGTGGGTCATCATATGTTTGGTTAAGTTTGATTTTTCATTAAATCGTTGCTCACACAGATCACAAGAGAAAGGCTTCTGCCCCGTCTGGATGACTGAATGTCTGTTTAAAAGTGTTGTTCGACTAAAACTTTGTCCACATAAATTGCAACAGAATGGTTTCTGTCCTGTGTGGATTTTTATGTGTCTTACTGTACTTAAGTACAGTAAAAGGTATCTATAATTTACTCCATTACGTATTTTTCTTCCTACTTCTGACTTCTACTAATTACATTTTCACACAAGTATCTGTACTTTCAATTCCTTCCATTTTTACTCGTTACTCTTGGCTTTGGTTTAATGTTTATAAATATTTATTTCAAGTCATGTGCACCATCCAATGCAAATCATTGGCGCCATCTACATCTAGTGTTATTTGATGAGTCCCATAGCGCAAACACTCATTGGTTAGCTAAAGGACATCATCAGAAGCCAGCAGGTGTTCTTCAGACTGCAAACGTGAATTGTCTATGCCATGCTACAATGTTGAAATGTTTGAAAGGTCAGACACAGGCGAGAGCGTATCGGGAGATGGAGACCAATAAGACCTCCCTCATCCTTGGCCCTATCTCAAAGAATTTTTCAAATAGTCGTAAAATTGAGCTTTCAATTCATATAGTGGTATCTGGCTGTTTGTTTTAAAGGTTACTTTATACTTTTATACTTTAAGTAGTTTTTGGAGTACATACTTTTTCACTTGTACTTGAGTAAAGAGGTCAAGTTGATACTTCAACTTTTACCAGTGTTTTTAAACTGCAGTATCTCTACTTCTACTTAAGTAACAAATGTATGTACTTTTGACACCACTGGTTGTCTTTCTGTTAAAGGTTCGTGATTTGCAATTTATTTTGAAAAAGGAAACCAATAAAACTTTTGAAAATGTCGCTTTTAATCCAAAATGACAGATTTATTCTGGTGTTCCCTTCTCCTTGGTTCCATACTTGCTGTGTTCTTGTGAGTTGAGAATCAGCCACAGTATGTATCTGCCATTGGATCAGTCTCTGCCCCTTTCTGCCTGCTGCAGTGAGGTCCTTCTCAGTTTATCTGACTCAACTCGTTAAAACGCCTCATTTTCACATTAAAATCCTATTTCATAAAGAACAGGTAAATTGGCTGAAAGTGCTATCGGTTTTGGTTTTGTTAGTTTTAGCTTCGGAACTGTTTTGAAGTATAGGCGCTCATTCATCGGTAATGTGTCCTGGTAAATTCCAGATCTTTTTTTCGGGATTTTGACATCTTTTTTCTCTCTACTTCTACGTCTCTTCTTTCAACAACAACGTTGTATCAGAGCTATGTTTACGTTTGCATAGCCGTCAATATGACCGCGACGTCCCACAATGCAGTTATTATTAAACATGTACACAGATGGTTAAAAAAAAATTCAAAGGGAAATGTGGGAATAGGGACAATATTTCCAGAGTTTAATATTGGTAGCAATTATTAGTTTACAGTGGTTGGAGGAGGTCAGACCAGACAGGGTGGTGATTTTCACTGATTCTAAAGTTGCAATAGAAAGCATTCATTCAGGAGGAAATAATAGGGAAGACCTTGTAATAGAAATTCATCAGTTTGTTTAGGTTATTTAGGCATGGAATAGATGCTCAGTTCTGTTGGGTTCCAGCAAACTAAGGGGTGAGAGGAAATGAAATAGCAGACGAAATGGCTAAAAAGGCTTTAGGAAAGCAGAATATAAATCAGATTCCATTTGGGAAAGGTATATCGATAATTAAAAAGAAAGAAACAGAAATATGGCAAAAAAATGGGATGAAGATGAGAAACGGAGAAGATTATATAGGGTTAATAAAAATCTGTAATTGTTAAAAATGATGGAGAAAGAAGCAGAAGGGAAGGGATAATTTATACTAGATTTAAGAACTGGATATACCTACTTGAATGAGTTTTTGTTTGTACTAGGGAAGAAAAAAAATTATTTCTGTGAGGGTTGTGAAAGAAAAGAAAATGCGGATCATGTTTTGATGGATGGCATGAAATAATGCAATGGAAAGAGAGAGAATGAGGAAAGTAATTATGGAAAAAGGGAGTGATTGGAGTATTAAAGGAATTTTAGGGACAGATGGAGATAGGGAGGAAAGTTTGGTTATTAAAAAAACAGTACTCATGTACAGTAGGTGGCGGTATGACATAAAACAAGTGTCAGTTAAAATCATTAAATGAGGAGCTTGTTAAAATGGAGTTCTCCATCGTCTGACACAGTACATAAAGTGTTTTAAAAACCCCACAACTGAATAAAATTCTCCATGTTCTCTGTGGCTCTGTGGAAGTGAAACTCCAGCCTTATTCTGGCTTTATCGTTGCACCTCCACAGGCATCAAGGTGAGTTCCTTCCTGTAGTCTTTCTCTGCGGGACAGGTAAATGGCCATCTTTGCTCCGCTGTTTAAAAAATGTAAAAGTCTGGCTTTTGGCTTATTCCTTCCGTTTTGACAAAACCCCCCTATAAAAACAGGGTTTGTAAAAATGATCCTGAAAAGACAAAAAACTCTTATTAAAAGGTTAAAAATGTTCTTTAGCCAAGTTACGTAAAACTTTTAACATGTTTTCAGACAGATCGCAGAAACGACACTCGTTTAAACCCTCTCAGGCTCAAATTAAGTTGTAGTTGCAGGAATAATCTGATATTTGAGTAGTAATATATAATTCACACATTTTTTTTTTTGAGAGAGACCTTCACATGCAATGAATTCTGGGATGTTGCAGATTTGCAACAATGGCCCGGAATGGTAAATTAACACTGAAGACTGAATCTGATATGAACGTTAACTTTATTTGAATGTCACAAACAAAAAAATTAACAAAACAAAATTCGAAAAAAAAATTTCTCTCACAAAATTAGAGACAACTTTATCTCAGACTTTTTTTCCACCAACATCTCAAAAGGACGTTTTTACAAGTCACTTTGTTGTGTGGTAGTCCATGAAGCAATTGTTGGTCTTTGTGAAGCACAAAAGGACTTTGCACTTCAAGCAGGCCGTTTGTGTGTAGCCGTCCTTGCACAGTCTGCATCGTCCACGTTTCTCAGCATGGGTGGGAAAATGATCAACTCGGTCTAGTCTGACATCAACCGATGGTGCAACGATCCTCTGGAGTGGCGGTGGAGGTGGTTCTGCCTGATGGGGTTCTGGAGAATCTTCCAAAGATGGTCGTCCTCTTTTCCTGCTCTTAAAGTCAGTCTGTTTGCCAACCTTGATGAGGGCATCAGCAACTTGAGCACGGAAGTCAAGAAGCGACATGTGCTTCTTCTCCTGCTTCTGGGTGAGATGACGACGGTAGAGGAGCCAGCCATTAACCAGTGATAGGTCAATCAGGTAGTATAAAATGCGCAGGTACCAACGCCGCGTGCGGATGTCAATGCGATAGAGAGATGCATACATGTCTGCCAAGTCTACTCCTCCCATGAATTTGTTGTACACCTGTACGATGTGGGGTCTGTCCACTTCGACATATTCCTTCTTCTCTTTCAACCACCTTCTGCATCTGTCAACAGGATCAGGGCCTGTGAAGGATGATGCCAGTAACACTGCCTTCTTATCATACCACTTCACGACAGCAATCCCACTGGTCATGTCGTATTTCACTTCATACGCCCCACGCCCACCCTTTGCCAGCTCCTTGTCACTTTTGAGGGTACATCCACGGAGACGGTTCCGATTGATGGTAGCAACTGTTTGAATTCCCATTTTTTTCAGTTCCACAATGAGCTCAGGGGAAGTAAACCAGTTGTTGAAGTAACACCTGTAGTTTAGCCCTTTAGGAACTTCTGACACGAGTCGAAGCACAACTTCACCAGCAACACCAAGTCCACGCTCATTGGTCACAGTCCCTTTTCCAGTGTATACTTCAAAGTCATAGACTAGTCCACTGACACCTGCACGAGTATAGACCTTGATTCCCCATTTTTGTGGCTTGTTCTTGAGGTACTGTTTCATTCCAATCCTTCCTGTGAAGGGGATCATCTGCTCATCAATTGTGTGGTTTTCTTCTGGTTCAACTTTCAAACAGTTGGCACGGACTTTCTCAAGCACTGGTCGCACCTTGAACAGTGGATCGTATCCAGGCTCACCCTTTTGCTTTATGTTGGTATTGTCATTCATATGGATGTATGCTCGCAGATGATCAAATCTCTTACGTCCCATGACTGTTGCAATTGGGTCATAGCGTGTTGCCGTCTGCCAGTACATGCGGTACGATGGCATACGTACTATGGTCATCAAGATGTGTAAACCAATGAATTGCTCCATTTCAGCAGAGGTTGTTTTCAGTTCTGAGCCACTCTTCATATAGGCATACAGGTTAGATTGGTGAGAAATGTGTTCAAACACAGATTTGTCCATGAACTGATCAAAATACCACCTTGGACTTGGGATTTTATCTGGTGGAGTTGAGAACGCAGGTCCTTGGAATGAAGAGTCGATGTCAGCTGCTGGGGGTTTCCTCTGTTTCCAAGAAAACTCTATTTTGACTGGAGCTGGGCCTGGCTGAGGTTCATTGTCATCTGGAGCCTCAATGTCACTGTCTACATGTGCATGATGAATTTCAACATCGAGCTGGTTGGGATAATTTCTTGCTATATCTGCTAGTGGCTCATCCTCATCAAAGCTGGAGTCAGACTCGTAAGCTTTAGGAGTTTCCACAAAATCTGGATCTGCAATTTTATCATCTGAAATGGATTCTGTGTCAGATAAAGCCCCATTGGGAATGCAAACCATCTCAAGAACTTCCTGGACTGAATATAATCTTCGTCGGCTTGCCATAATGCACGGCAAAACCTGTAAAGACAGTATTCTGTCAGATAGTTTGCCAAAAAAAGCTTATACTCAAACAAAGATCTATATGAATACATATGCCATGGAATTTAGGCTCCTACAGTTTTCCTCACTGCACAGTCAAATTAACAACTTATTATGCCATTGCTTTTGATCAAATCTGGCTCTGGTAGTTTGTAGTTTCACTCAAAATTAAACTCTAGTATAAACTGTTGCTCAAAATATAGGCAAACTAGTAAATAAAGCATGTTGCATCCATTGGTACCTGTTTGGGCACACGTTGCGAATCCACAACATTGAAATCGAGATGCCTCTGGTGAAAAACCCAGCGGAGATAAAATGTACTAAATGGCATGTGTCATATCTATACACATATATAATTCATCTTACGTAGAATAGATTTCAAAATAATGGAAATTGGTAGAGATACATGAAATTGGTGCTTAGAAAAGCTGTTTCAGTGACACCAAGGACTCAGTCATGTTGAAAGTGAGTCAGCAGTGCCATCTAGTGAGCTGGAGAGAAACTTTTTGTTGCAAATGCACAACTAAGTCTTTCTGTTGTGCTTGTAACAAAAGCTCTTAAAATATGGATGTGGAGTAATATGCTAAGTTGCATTTAGCTGTTGCAAATCTGCAACATCTGCCTGGAGAGGCTTTAAACTGGCTTTTAAGCCAAACCTTTGTCCACACAGATCACAACAGAAAGGTTTCTGTCCAGAATGGCTTATCATGTGTATTTTCAAAGCTGATTTTTCACAGAACCCTTTTCCACATAGCTCACAAGAAAAAGGTTTTTCTTCTAAATGGATTTTTATGTGTTTGGTTAAATAACCCTTCACACTAAAACTCTGTCCACATAGATCACAGCAATACATTTTATGTCCTGTGTGGAGTTGCATATGTGTATTAAAATTTGGCTTTGTGCTAAATGTTTTCCAACATACATCACAGGTGTAGGGTTTCCGTCCAGTGTGGAGCTTCTTATGTCTGTTTAAACCTCGTGTTCCTGTCAATAATTTACCACAGTCTTCATAGCTTAACTTTAATTCTGGCTGGACTTCCCTTTGTGAGCCTTCATTTTGGAAGCTTGAAGACTCTATATCTGAATCTATTGAGTCGTTCTGAACAAAGGGAAGAAAGAAATGTTCAGCAAACATAGAGGAACTATAGGGTTTCTTCGTATTTCCATCCAATTCCGGTGCTCTGTACTTCCAGTCATTGTCCATGTCCTTAGTTTTTAGCCCACAGTGTTTCAGCTCAGAGACTGAAGGTTTTATATTATTGTCCTCATCCTCCATAGTATCTTCAGTCTTTAAGTAAATAGAACCATCTGGAATCTCTCTGCCTGTAAACTGGTCTGGATAAAGCTGAGAGAGCCGAGGGGAATGGTTATCATTCACACCGTCATTGAGAGAAGCAGTCACTGGAAAGCTGGTGGCTTCCATCTCCTCCTTTGCATTGAGCTGCTCTCCCCCCAGACTGACGTAGATTTCTTCCTGTTCCTCCTTTATGTGTTCAGGCTTTGGGTCATTCAGGTGAGCATATGGTCTGTAGTCCACAGGTACCTCTTCTTTAACAATCACCACCTCCTTAACATCTGCAGAAAACATCAAAAAGCATAATGCTTTTTTAGAAACTAAGGCACTTAAACAAAACATTCTATTATAATTAATTATCTTATTTTAAGAAATATTTTTTTCTCATTCCTTACATTTTTATTTCTTAAATAACTTTTTTCCACATATCCAATGTCTGATGCTGTCTGAATTTATAAACACATGACAAAATTTATTATTGTACTTAGTTGATTCTGACTGCAGTGCAGTGCATGACTAAGAATTAAATCATAAAGAAAAAACAGACGCATGTACCACGAAGCAGGATTACTTGCTTAGTGAGACAACTTCAAGTTTAACCCTGACTTTAAGGTACCATGAAGCTGGATATTTTACTTTAGTCCTGTTTTACCAATTTGGCTCTGGGAATTTCCCAGAGATAGAAGCAGTGTTAATTTGTCAACCAGGGCGATGACGAAAATATTTCGTTAACGCCCCTTTTTTTCGTGATGATAACGAGAAGATGACGGACAAAAATTGTTTCCAGAAAATAAAAATATGATAAAATTAAAAATGATTTTCGTTAACGAGACTAAGACCAGATAATATTTACGAACCATGGATGAATGGACATTAAAAAATGTATTGTTTATAATTAATTTCTAACTGTTAATATAAGCGTTTTTTGAGCCTCATAGAAGATTATGCGTGTTTGCCCTGTTTGTCCCTACACGGCGCCTGTCCCACAGTGCCTCGTGCCGCTCAGTCAGTAGTAGCAGGAGGCTTATACTCTTAGCTCAACTTTGCAGTCATTGCGGATACCGGTGTGCGGTTTGTTGGAGGAGCTGGGAGAAAACAACACCTGGATGGAGCCATTTCGTTTACAACGCAAAGGACGAAACCGGAGGAAGGATGCCACCAAAGAGTCTGCGGCTTTAAAATGGCAGGGAAGAACACAACGAATATCAAGCGACATCTGAGGTGCCAACATGCTGCCATATGGAAGAAGATAAGGAAAAGGTGGGCCTGTAGTAGTAGCAGGAACGGGGGGGTGTGCGGGCGAGCATGCATGTAGATGTGCATGTGCCTTCTTGTGCCTGTATCTCTGTCATAGAAGAAAGATGTTCTACTGATACACTGGATATTAATGGTTTACATTTCTTCATCCCAACCAGATACCTGACACAGTGACACCACAGCCAAATCAGAGGTTGGGGAAGGAAGGGAAGTCTGTTTGAGGAGGAAGACTTTGTGGATATGATGAAACCAGCCGAACAAAAGGTTAATGTGTACAGTGCGATATGTTAAAAAGAGAATCAGAGTGTGAAGTTCTACTATGCACAGTGTTATTTAAATAAAATACAGCAAAAAGAGAAGCAGTGTGTGGAGAATTTTTATTTTGTACAGTGTGACATATACACTCACCGGCCACTTTATTAGGTACACCTGTCCAACTGCTCGTTAACACTTAATTTCTAAGCAGCCAATCACATGGCGGCAACTCAGTGCATTTAGGCATGTAGACATGGTCAAGACAATCTCCTGCAGTTCAAACCGAGCATCAGCATGGAGAAGAAAGGTGATTTGAGTGACTTTGAACCTGGCATGATTGTTGGTGCCAGAAGGGCTGGTCTGAGTATTTCAGAAACTGCTGATCTACTGGGATTTTCACGCACAACCATCTCTAGGGTTTACAGAGAATGGTCCGAAAAAGAAAAAACATCCAGTGAGCGGCAGTTCTGTGGGCTGAAATGCCTTGTTGATGCCAGAGGTCAGAGGAGAATGGCCAGACTGGTTCGAGCTGATAGAAGGGCAACAGTGACTCAAATAACCACCCGTTACAACCAAGGTGGGCAGAAGAGCATCTCTGAACGCACAGTACGTCGAACTTTGAGGCAGATGGGCTACAGCAGCAGAAGACCACACCGGGTGCCACTCCTTTCAGCTAAGAACAGGAAACTGAGGCTACAATTTGCACAAGCTCATTGAAATTGGACAATAGAAGATTGGAAAAACGTTGCCTGGTCTGATGAGTCTCGATTTCTGCTGCGACATTCAGATGGTAGGGTCAGAATTTGGCGTCTACAACATGAAAGCATGGATCCATCCTGCCTTGTATCAACGGTTCAGGCTGCTGGTGGTGGTGTCATGGTGTGGGGAATATTTTCTTGGCACTCTTTGGGCCCCTTGGTACCAATTGAGCATCGTTGCAACGCCACAGCCTACCTGAGTATTGTTGCTGACCATGTCCATCCCTTTATGACCACAATGTACCCAACTTCTGATGGCAACTTTCAGCAGGATAATGCACCATGTCATAAAGCTGGAATCATCTCAGACTGGTTTCTTGAACATGACAATGAGTTCACTGTACTCAAATGGCCTCCACAGTCACCAGATCTCAATCCAATAGAGCATCTTTGGGATGTGGTGGAACGGGAGATTCGCATCATGGATGTGCAGCCGACAAATCTGCGGCAACTGTGTGATGCCATCATGTCAATATGGACCAAAGTCCCTGAGGAATGCTACCAGCACCTTGTTGAATCTATGCCACCAAGAATTGAGGCAGTTCTGAAGGCAAAAGGGGGTCCAACCCGTTACTAGCATGGGGTACCTAATAAAGTGACCGGTGAGTGTATGTTTAAAAGAGAAGCAGTGTGTGGAGAAGTTCTATTATTTAACTGATGAGCTAAACATTGATCTTTGATGCTGTCAGGATGCTTTGCGGATGATTGATAAAAGAGTATATTTCTCTGTGGAGATTTTATACATCTATATCTATCGATCGAGATATATATATATATATATATATATATATATATATATATATATATATTAGTGCTGTCAAAATTATCGCGTTATTAACGCGTTAACGCGAGGCCATTTTAACGGCGATAATTTTTTTAAAGTGAGATTAACGCTATGTGGTTTTATGGTACAATTTTCCAAGTACATCCCGCTGCAGCCTGCGGGAAGGCGGGGCTATTTTCCCCCAGTGTATGCATTTCTCATAGGCTTCAAGAGCGGAGCTCCTCAAGGGAAAAAGACGCTCATACACTGGGTGACGCTAGTGCCTTTTCTTTAAGCCCCACCACCAACAAACAAGTTGAGTGTCTGGTAACTAGTAGCAACCTGAAATACGCTGAGAAAACTGATTACTGAGGTGAAATGGAATCTCGTAGCAGCACTCTTGCCGTCTGTGTACGCAACAGGTCGGTATCGCGTGTGTGTGTGTGTGGGTGGGTGTGTCTGTGTGTGGGTGAGTGGGTGTGTGTTTGTTCTCATTTTTGTTAAGAGGCTGAAAAGTAACTTTCTAGAGAGCATAGACTACCTTCATCTAGTGATGTCGGTCTATTGATTTTGATGTATTGATTGAAAATTGTTCATTATTACCTTGGTTAATTAACATCTAATGTTAACTCTACTAAATTTTATAGCAGTAGGATAAAATGCTTGTCTTTGTTCAAAAGACTGTATTAACTGTAAAGACTGTCTTTTACATCAGCCTGTTTTCAGGGCCTTTTTTTTGCCTACATATTTGTTATTTTTTGCTACATGCCTCCCCATCTTCTTGCCATATGTTTCTATGGCATAAATCAGTATCTGTGACCTGTTTTCATTTTAAAAAAAGAACATTGGCACAAACCTAGCCTGTATGTATTTTTTTGTATGTCATCGAGAGTATTTAAATGATTTTCAATCAGGAAAAAAATGTGCGATTAAAATGCGATTAATCGCGAGTTAACTCAGGCATTGATGCGATTAATCGCGATTAAAAAATTTAATCGATTGACAGCACTAATATATATATATATATATATATATATATATAAACAGGTAGGACCTGTTCATCATCTCATTGGGTTCTTCCTCATGCAGACATTCTGCATATGAACAATAAATAAATATCAAGGGAGTTAAACACTCAAGGTAATAAAAAAAAATTTGAAGAATATATTGTTATGTAGAAGGAAAAGACAGCGAGCTCTGATCATTATTGCTTCACTAAAACACTTTTTTTTTTTATGAACTATTGCGAAAAACTGTTTTAAATACCCAAACTAACAAGAAATGTTAAAACCTGACCAAGAAAAATATTTTATTGTGTATTCTGGTTCTTGCAGTTTTAACCATAAACCTTAAAAACTCTATATTCACTTCCAGCCGCTACAAACGGCAGCTAGAAATCCCCCAAAAGCTGTGAGCAGCAGAGAGCTCCCAGCTGCGATTTCCAGCACTGCATCTCGGGGGTTTGCTGGAGGTCTGGTGCTCTGAATAAGAACTGCATATTTTAGTAGGATCATAAAACTGATGAACTGACTGCACAGATGAAGTTGGACTTTCACTCTTAAAACATGTTAAAACAATTGTTCATATTCATAAAGTCAATAAAGCTACAGAACAGAGTAGATAACCAGAGCCCTGAGCATCCAGAGCAGGACTGCAACTAACAATTACTTTGCAAATCTTGAGGAGTTCTGGATAGAGCATATTGACAGAACAAATTTTTTTTCTATTTATCTTTTTTTACAATTTTGATATAGTTACTGCTCTAAGTGGGTCGCTCTGTCAGCTAAAGGCATGTTTTAAAGTCTCTATACTTCAGTTAACGATTTATGGATTACTAAATTACGATTTAGTAATTACTAAATTTGTTGGTTATTTCAATAATCTATCAATCACGATTAATCTGATTAATTGTTAAAGTCCTAATCCAGAGCTTCAAAACATCAAAGCAACTAGACCACAGCATCTGACCCAGAGTCCTGATTTCTGCATCTGCATTATTTGACGCCCACAATGCCTTTGGTGTAAACGCAGTATAAGAAAAGAAAAAAAGAAGAGCGCACCAGTGAGTAGCGGAGATGTTCTTAGTCCAAATCCGAAAATGTCCACATTAGTAGCTACACATTGCCATTCATTTTTAAGAGGGAATTTCTCACATTTAAAAACCCAGATTTGTTGCGATGGATCAGATAATTTGCGTTATCCCGCAGTGAATTTCAGGCCCTGGTAATCTGAAAGTAATTCCAGTAGTTCTTCATGTACTGTTTAAAATAAATAAATAAATAAACTCTCATATCTTGTTGTCAATTGAGTTTTAGAATTCCCTCCCTATAAACATTTAATTCTCTGTGTTGCGAGAACATACACAAGACAATTTCTCCTGCTTTTTGATTTCTCCAAACAGCATGCCAAACTTTACCCGTTGAGTAGAAACTTCACAACCGAGGCATCAGTGAGAAGCCCAACCTGTGCTCAATACACGCCATCGCATGAAAGAATCTCCAAAAAACACTCTGGTCTTGTTTCTCTCTTCTTAAGGCCTTTCTCTTCTTCTCATACACTTCGTAGACACTTTTTCTCTTACGACCCTCGGCCATTTTCTAAGAACCGCCGTAAGAAAGGCAGGCTTCAAATACTGGCTTAAACCGTAGCTCACCACATAAAAGTGTGCATGCACAGAAAGCAATAATAACCTAGGGACGAGCACGTAGGACGGCCTGACATAAACAAAATCACTAGAATGATTCACAATTAGGAGGACCAATTTTTTTGATGATCCACCCGAAAAAGTACATCCTCCCCTATACCTTTAACATATAAAAAGATTGCATACGGACTGTTTAAAGGAAACTGGGAGAGAAATGAAGTATAGGTCTACACTAATCAGTTGTGTAAAAGATTAACTTTGGAAAGACAAAAAAACAATAACAATCAATAAGTGCCTGAGAGTAGTAAAATGAAAAGTGTTGTTTATTCAGTTAAATATTATATCTCGAATGATATCCTTTGTAAAGAAACTGAAGACATTAAGTTATTGTGGAAAATACCAGAACTATATCAGAATATGTGCTGATAATAAGGTAGAGCCTTTGCTTGTGCTTAACAAGCTAAAATGAATGGAAATCAATGTGAAGAAAATTGTTATTGTAATATTGCCTTTCTTGTTTGTTGTCTTTCTGTTAAAGGTTCGTGTCTTGCAATGTAATTTGAAAAAGGAAACCAATAAAACTTTTGAAAAGGTCGCTTCTAATCCAAAATGACAGGTTTATTCTGGTGTTTCCTTCTCCTTGGGTCCATACTTGCTGTGTTCTTGGGAATTGAGAATCAGCCAGTGTGGATCTGCCATTGGATCCGTCTCTGCCCCTTTCTGTCTGCTGCATCTGACACAACTCGTTAAAACGCCTCATTTTCACATTAAAATCCTGTTTCATTATCATAGAGAACAGATAAATTAGCTAAAGGGGCTATCGGTTTTTGTTTTGTTAGTTTTACACGGCGATTCCATGTTTCCAGGTTAGCTTGTGTCTGTTCCTAACCCCGGGGTTCCACTCACAATATGGCGGATACGGGTCGCTTCAAGGGAGATATGACTAACAGTTACGTGTTGGGCTTAAAGAAGTGAATCCATTAGTCACCTTATAAACGTACATTTTATATGAAAGCATGCAGATGTAATATGGAAAGGACAATTTACCAGCTTCAAGGATGTTGTGTTCCGTCTTACATTCTTTGTCCTCATCTTTAACTGTTTCGGGAATCTCTCCTATTGCTGCACTCATGTTCGCGCTTTCACCCACTCTTCAAAAAGAGTTTTAAATGATTGCCCTTCTTTATTAAACAGGGAGAAACTCATCTGAAGGCTTCTGTCTGTTTCTTCCTCTACTACTACTACTTCTGTCTTTTTTTTATTGGCAAACAACTTTAAAGGTGCATTACCGCCACCCACTGGAGAGGAGTTTGAACCGAATTTTGACCTAAAAACAACAATAATTAATACGGTAAATAACTTTAAAAAACAACAACAAAGGGGCATTATTGTTCTTTTGTATTTTAATGCTGGTTGGCATTAAAGGACCAACCAGTAATGAGTGTAAATCAAGATGACAGGCTATGAAAAATAGATAAATATATTTATATACATTTCCCATATTGTGATTCAGTTAACCTTGAATAATATTTATATAAAATAACAAAATAAATCCATTATTATATAACCCAGTTATTTGCCCTAAAATGTTACAGCTCTTTTTTTTTTAAAGATGTCTTATTAAAACTGTTCTTTCTTTCTGATATTTCCTATCACGTATGCCTAAAGCTTGTCCTCAAGGGCTGCTGTCCTGCAGGTTTTAGAGGTTTCCCTGATTCAGCACAGCTGATTTTCATTGGTCGCTGATTAATAGGCTTTTGCTGAACTGCAATCATCAGAGTCAGCTGTGATGACTAAATGTGGAGGGAAGGTTTAGTGATTAAGTTAGAAAATAAAGCAATAGGTGGAAGAATGTATAACTGGATAGCAACTACTGGAGCAACTAAAATAACCCCAATTGATGCTATTTTAACAGACGGTGGAGAAACTCCTTTATATCACTTTCATTTTGGATCAGAATTAAAAGCCGTAGTGAAGGAAACCCAGCAGCAAGCATAATTAAGAACTGTTGGGAATATTCCAAATTTACAAGAAAGGGCTTTGGCTGGACTGTGAATGAATGGGCAAAAATATATGAGTTGGATGATAAGAAATTCTCTGAAAATAACCCAATCAGTGCTGTACCTCCACGGTTGTTTCCAGAAACAAAAGTTGACTTGAAAATACATGAAATGAAAAGAGGATGGAAACATAATGAAGTTGGGGTTAAAACTAGCACATATTTATAAAAAACAAAAAATGTATCATAGTTATCTAAATATTTACACAAATGATTCAAAAAATTCAAAGGGAAATGTGGGAATAGGGATATTCTTTCCAGAGTTTAATATTAAGAATTTTAGGGACAGATGGAGAGGAAAGTTTGGGTTATTAAAAAAAGCAGCTTTTATTTTTTTACATAACATAAAAATAAAAAATAGAATATAGTAGGTGGATCTATAGAGCTACACATTCATGTACAGTAGGTGACAGTATGCACCTAAAAGCTGTTTGCAATCCACCAATCTAACAACAAAGACTTTTAAGATTTTATTTACACAATTCAAACATGTAAACAATTGACATAAAACAAGTGTCAGTTAAAAATCGCTTTTAAAATAAAAACAAGTGTCAGCTAAAATCATTAAATGAGGAGCGTGTTAAAATGGAGTTCACCATCATAAAATGTACATAAAATGTTTTTAAAACTCAGCAACTGAATAAAATCCTCCATGTTCTCTGTGGCTCTGTGGAAGTGAAACTCCAGCCTTATACTGGCTTTAACGTTGCACCTCCACAGAGCCACGGCATCAAGGTGAGGTCCTTCCTGCAGTCCGTCTCTGCGGGACAGGTAAACGGCCATCTTTGCTTCGCTGTTTAAAAAATTTAAAAGTCGGGCTTTTGGCTTATTCCTTCTGCTTTGACAAACCCCCCCCTATAAACACAGGGTTTGTGAAAACGATCCCAAAAAGACAAAAAACACAAATTAAAAGGTTAAAAATGGTCTTTAGCCTTGCATTACTTTTTTTTTTTAAGTGGAAATGGCGGGTCTTTTAAAAAATTCAAAAAACTCCACTATAGCTTTAATGAAGTTTATATAATTTTTCCTGAGAAACTTTACAATTTGTTTTTTGAGTGGCTTTATTGTGTATTCATAGCTAAGCCATTTTTCTTCCTCTGTGGGTTTTCATGTGTTGCTTCAAACTTGAGCTTACAGTAAATCTTGTCCCACAAACATCACAGCAGAAAGGTTTATGTCCTGTGTGGATTCTCATGTGTGTACTTAGATTTCCTTTTTCACTAAATCTTTTTCCACATATATCACATGGAAAAGGTCTCTGTCCAGTGTGGATTCTATTGTGTGTCTCTAAACCTACTTTTTGACTAAATCTTTTTCCACAGTGAAGACAGCAGAAAGGTTTCTGTCCCGTGTGGGTCATCATATGTTTGGTTAAGTTTGATTTTTCATTAAATCTTTGTCCACAGAGATCACAAGAGAAAGGCTTCTGTCCTGTGTGGATCTTTGAATGTCTGTTTAAATGTGTTTTTCGACTAAAACTTTGTCCACATAAATTGCAACAGAACGGTTTCTGTCCAGTGTGGATTTTTATGTGTCTGGTTAACCCAGCTTTTAAGGTAAACCTTTGTCCACACAGATCACAACAGAAAGGTTTCTGTCCAGAATGGCTTATCATGTGTCGGGTTAAATGTCCATTCAAAGTAAAACTTCGTCCACATAGATCACAGATATAAGGTTTATGTCCTGTGTGGAATTTTATATGTGTATTAAAATTTGAATTTGTGCTAAATGTTTTCCCACATACATCACAGGTGTAGGGTTTCTGCCCAGTGTGGAGCTTCTTGTGTCTGTTTAAACCTCGTTTTCCTGTCAATAATTTACCACAGTCTTCACAGCTAAACTTTAATCCTGGCTGGACTTTCCTTTGTGAGCCTTCATTTGGGAAGCTTGGAGACTCTATATCTGAATCGATTGAGTCGTTCTGAACAAAGGGATGTAAAAAATGTTCAGCAAGCGTAGAGGAACTATAGGGTTTCTTCATATTTCCATCCAATTCCGGTGCTCTGTACTTACAGTCATTGTCCATGTCCTTAGTTTTTAGCCCACAATCTGACAAGTGTTTCAGCTCAGAGACTGAAGGTTTTATATCACTGTCCTCATCCTCCATAGTGTCTTCAGTCTTTAAGTAAATAGAACCATCTGGAATCTCTCTGCCTGTAAACTGGTCTGGATAAAGCTGAGAGAGCCGAGGGGAATGGTTATCATTCACACCGTCATTGAGAGAAGCAGTCACTGGAAAGCTGGTGGCTTCCATCTCCTCCTTTGCATTGAGCTGCTCTCCCCCCAGACTGACGTAGATTTCTTCCTGTTCCTCCTTTATGTGTTCAGGCTTTGGGTCATTCAGGTGAGCATATGGTCTGTAGTCCACAGGTTCCTCTTCTTTAACAATCACCACCTCCTTAACATCTGCAAAAAACATTGAAAAGCATAATGCATATTAGAAAGTAAGGCAGTTAAAAAGACAAAACATTATACATTATAAATAATTCTCTTATTTTATTAATATTTTGTTTCTCATTCCTTCCATTTTTATTTCTTAAATAACCTTTTCCCACATATCCAATGTCTCATGCTGTCTGAATTTATAAACACATGACAAATTTTATTATTGTACTTAGTTGATTCTGACTGCAGTGCAGTGCAAGACTAAGAATTAAATCATAAAGAAAAAACAGAAGCATGTACCACGAAGCAGGATTACTTGCTTAGTGAGACAACTTCAGGTTTATCCCTGACTTTAAGGTACCATGAAGCTGGATCTTTTACTTTTGTCCTTTTTTGCCAATTTGGCTCTAGGAAGAGATTTCCCAGAGATAGAAGATAGTCCAACACAAGTAGACCACTATGGCCTTTGCTATAAGGATTCCGCCTGATACTTCTATATAAAACTTCATTGAAAATTGTAAAATCGTGTCCTCCCCTATAACTTTAACATATGAAAAGATTGCATACGGAGTGCTTAAAGGAAACTAGGAGAGAAAAGAAGTATAGGCCTACTGGTGGATACTAGTCAATTGTGTAAAAAATGAACTTTGGAAAGACAAAAAAACAAATATATCAATACGTGTCAGAGTAGTAAAATGAAAAGTGTTTTTATTCAGTTAAATATTATATCTCGAATATTATCCTTTCTAAAGAAACCGAAGACATTAAGTAATTGTGGAAAATACCAGAACTATATCAGGATATGTGCTGATAATAAGGTAGTTTGTTAGTTTTACATGGCGATTTCGTGTTTCCAGGTTAGCTTGTGTCTGTTCCTAACCCCGGGGTTCCACTCACAATATGGCGGATACAGGTCGGTTCAAAGGAGAGAAGAAGCGCATTGTTTAACAGTTACATGGAATCTGGGCTTAAATAAGTCAATCCATTAGTCACCTTATAAACGTACATTTGACATGAAAGCATGCAGATGTAATATGGAAAGGACAATTTACCAGCTTCAAGGATGTTGTGTTCCGTCTTATATTCTTTGTCCTCCTCTTTAACTGTTTCGGGAATCTCTCCTATTGCTGCACTCTGCCACAGTTGGAGCCGCTGCGTCCACATGTTTGCTCTTAGCTTATCTTTCAATGTTCGTTTAACATTTACTAAGCAGTTCGCGCTCAGTTTTCACCCAAACTCTTGAAAAAAAAAAAAAAAAAGAGTTAAATGATTGCTCTTCTTTACTAAACAGGGATAAACTCATCAGCAGGACTTCAGCGTCCTCTTCTTCTACTACTGTTTCTTCTTCTGTGTTTTTGTTTCTGTTATTGGCGGTCGGCAAAAAACTTTAGGGTTGCATTACCGCCACCCACTGGACAGGAGTTTGAACTGAATGTCGACCTAAAAAAAAAAACAATAATATAATAAATCACTTAAAAACAACAACAAAAAGAGGCCTTCTTCTACTTTTGTATTTTAATGCTGTAATAACATACATCCAAGAGTTTTGCCCTAATTTTTATTAATTCTGTTCCTTCTTTATATTTCCTATCACGTATGCCCAAAGTTTGTCCTCAAGGGCCGCTGTCCTGCAGGTTTTAGAGGTTTCCCTGCTTCAGCAAAGATGATTTTCATTGATTGCTGATTAACAGGCCTTTGCTGAACTGCAATCATCAGAATCAGCTGTGGACCACCATGGTTTGCGAACAGAAAAAACATGTTTTTTTTCTGTTCAAGGACAAAGGGTATGCTGTAACATTAAAATATTGTATTTTCATTTTGCATACACAGAGTCTATACAAAACAAAAGCTTTCATGAGATTTCCATCCCTTATGGTGCAGCACTGATCAAACGTAAACAATGTAAACATGGTGCAAAGAACGCATTGATATGGAAGTTCAGAGCATTAAATACATATGATGCAAATATGCAGTGTTTTGATTTGGTGTTATCAGTGTGATGCAGAGTCTGTGAAACAGACAACTGTCAACAATCTGTTTTGTGATCATTCCAATAGCAACCAAAACATTGAGGCTATCCTAGTTCAGCATGCGCCATCACTTGATGATTATAAAGACTTCCCAGCTATGTCTGTAGAGACGCTTTAACTCAGCCTGACTCAAGAACAGCAAGCATCAATGCAAAATGCAATCCATCAAATTTCTGACCTTAGCACAAAATATCAGGCCTGTTTTACTGCACTTCTCAGTATTATACAATGTCCAGCATGAGACACAAATATCCTCAAAACAAAGCAGGGTCGACTTGGAAAGGTGATTTATTGTATCACGGATCTTTTGAATACCACTTTAACTGCCTCTGCTTTATTCCTGCATTTCAACATGTTCGTGTTACAGAAGTGTTAGAGGAATGGCAAAAGACCACAGTTCTTTGCAAATGAAATATTTTTCCTGTTGGTCTATTACATTTTTAAAGTATCATCAGAAATTTCTGTCAAGTGCCAGTTCACAATTTAAAAAAATCTTAAGACAATGATGAGCCATTAAAGCTTCATGGCTTTTAAGCCACTGTCTTGATGACTAATAGGTTGAACACATTTCTCATATTCTTTCTCTTGGGCCTTTTAACAATGGGGCTAAATACAGAAATTCAAATTGGAAAATTATAACTATTAAGTTGATTTTTTATAAGGTGGAATTTATACATGAACAATCTTTTGTGTCCTATAAAAAACACAAAACAGTCATTTGTTTAAGGCTGCTTCATTCATAACAATGCAACATATTTCTATATAATAAAGATGTTTGCTACAACCACATTTATTCCTTGCTGTGACTTGCTTTGACAATATAATGTGAGTATCAACCACATAGGCAATAATGAGGTTAATGATAATGCTCGCACATGGTAGAAGTGCAGAAACATGAATACAGGCAAAGCAAAACTATTTGTGTATTCACAGTCAGGAATTAACACCAAACACCCTGAAAGGGCCAGGAAGAAGTAAATAAAAACAAAAAAAAGTACAAGTGAAGAAAAGGAAAGAGCTGAGAGCAAATAGTTTGTTCCTTTCTGGAGTAAATTATTTGATCAGAGTCTTGTTCAGTTTAAACAATATTTTATAATATTAGAGTTTGGAGTTTCTGCAGCAAGTGACCTCTGGCATGAATTACTGACATTGGAGAATAGTTGTGTGCCACATAATGGTAAATTAGCCCTATCTGCAATCTCTCTCCATTTGTGAGAGATGCTGATGCTGCAATCTCCACTTATGTGAATGCAATGGGAAATCCCTCTTTGCATTACTGAGCTGGGATTTGTTTCAAAAAGCTGGTTTACTAAAAGCTCTAAGTGGTTTAAACCTAAAATCATTGAAATTCTGTGTTTTCCGTTTCACATAGAGAGTTTATTCATCCTCTGTTTCTGTTACCATAGTAACATCCTACCCAGAGCTAAACAGGTGGTGAGCAGGTTTTCTTCAATAAGCTCAGCGTGTCCTCAGTCTCCGCTTTCCACGTTGCTTTATTTCCTGATTTATTCAGGAGATTTTTTTGTCACAGGTTTTTGCATACAATAAAGAAAATCAGTCACTAAACCGTTAGACACATTAGGTTTTAAAAAACAAATAATTTATGTCTGTTTTATGTGCATCTTATAAGAGAGTGGTCTGCACTATTTATCAGAGAATTCATTATTTGTAGGGAAAGCATTCTACAAGTAGTCTAGTAAACTAGCCCCACCTGCCAGCGGCCAAAATCATTTTTGCCTGCGAGTAAAATACACATTTAATGTCACATTTAGTCTGGTTTATCACGCTATTCTACAAGCACTGGTGGGGATTGTTTTATGTATATTATTTTTTTCTTCTTAGAATTTAAATTAAATGTATTATATTTAATACATAATAATGTATTAATTAACTAATAGAATAGTTAAATAATAAATAAATTCTAAAATTATTATCTAACTAATAAATAAATCAATTATTTATTAGTAGATAGACCATCACAAACAAAATGTAGAACATGTACAGATGAACTATAAAACTTGTGAACGTGAAAGGGAGTATTGGGAAATGCTGGAAATATAAAGGATATTAACCGATTAAATAAAGCATTAATCATTTATCTACAGAATACAAAATAAAAAAAATAGAATTTGATGTACAGTAATGTTACTACACACTCATGTACAGTAGGTGGCGGTATGCATTTTAAAGTTGCCTGCGGTCCGCCATAATAGAAAAGAACAAGAAGAAGACCATCACGAACCTCTCTATACTAGTAGGTGGCGGTAATGCTATTAAAGGTTTGTTGCCAACTGTTGCCAATCAACGAAGAAGAAGAAATTAAGAAAGCAGAAAGAGAGGGGGCCGTGGTGAAAGGTAAAGGACGTGCACTTTAACCAAATGCCGTTAGGTTTAAATTAAATAGCTTCCACATTCACCTGTCCTCCATGGCAGCTCAGCTCCGCGCTGTGGTCTCCTCCCGGTGGTTAGCTAACGCTGTTAAAACCAATCTCCTCGGCCCTAAACTTTGTGTCCTGGATGGATCCTACTTTCCAGTTGGCAAACGGAACCCCAGAACCGAGTTCAACCAGAAACACATCCCGGTGTTATGCCCAAAAGTGCATGCCTGCCGAAATATGCATCCCCAGTCGCGGGAGCGCGCCTCGCTCTGTTGAACTGCATATCGACGAGGAAAACGGATTAAAATATGTTCAATGGAGCTTAGGTTCTTATATTAACGATATAAAAACGTTTAAAAATACCTCTCGTGGGGAAAAAAACTTGTGGTTATTTCGCAGATTAATTTACAAAAGTACGGATTTTTTTGAACAACATTAAATCCAAAGATTTTGACCATGGTACGGCTGATTTATTTGTTGTGGACTCTTGCTATTTGCACACAACACTAAACCGTGATAGCCGAAGTGAGTTTTGAGTTTGCAAAGCTTTCTCTTAAGTGGAAAATCAAACGCGCACCTACAAAGCACAGCGTTCACAGACCAGTGAGATGCGTTCGCTGCGCGTCATTCAGCTATGGTGCATTCTTCTTCTTCTTCTTCTTATGAGATTTTATGGCGGTTGGCAAACTTGTGAAATGTGCATTACCGCCACCAACTGATATGGAGTAAAGCAAGGAAACAGGAAACGATTCACCCCCCCCCAAAAAAAAAAAAAAAAAAAAAAAAAAAAAAAAAATACAATAAAATAACCTGTGTAACTTAAACCCACATAATACTAAATTATACTAAATTACATTTGCCCGTATAATTTTAATTTACTCTAGGTCATCGTACCTCTGCCAGTTTCTGATGGTCCCATTGGTCTTTCCATCATGCTTCCAACCATCTCCCAGTTCATATCTTTAACATCCAGATATTTTTCTGCAGCCTTCACTATTATTTTGATTTTTTCTGTTTTTTTTGTCGTCTGAGCAGTACAATTAATCACTTCCACCATGAAAAGAACAAAATTTGTCTTTTTAACAATTAGTGAGTCTTCATCAATTTTTGGAGATTTCTCTAGAGGTTTGAAATTTGCCGTGTGTTGAACTATAGGTTTGGGTTTTTCTGACTGAGATGGGATCCTTTTTGCAGCTTCAGCATAAGTTATTCCAAGCTCAAATTTCATTTTTTTTATTTCTTCAGACCTTTTGCTTGCTTCACAGCCGCGATAAGCAGCAGTATGTTCTCCACCACAATTACAGCATTTTATTTTAGCTTCTTTTCCACATTTACCATATTCATGTTCTCCTGCACACCTTCCACACCTCTGTTTCCCTTTACAAACTGCTGCAATGTGTCCGAATTTTTGACATTTGAAACATCTCAATGGTGGTGGATTGTAGATTTTGACATTGTAACTGATGTAACCGATGAATACTTTGCTTGGTAATTGCTCTTCCTCGAATTTAATTAGTACAGATAAACTGTCAGATCTTTCTCCGTTTCTTGTTGTTTTTAACCGTTTTACTTCTTTTACTTTTGCACCGCTTATGTTTTCCAGAATCTCTTTTTCAGAAATTTTCAGAGGAACTCCTCCAATGACTCCCCTGCTGATCTTTTTGTTCTCCATTAGGCTGCACTGAACTCTTATCCCGTCAATTTTGTTAATACGTATTGCTTTGCCTTGCTGGGCGCTGTCTCTGCAGTTAATTAGCAGGTCTCCACTGTACAGAATTCTGGCACCTCTGACTTCTCCAACAAGTTTATTGATGGTT